TACGCCAGAATTTACACAAAAATTTCAGATATAATTTCAGAATTACATTAGAAATTCGTATTTTTTTAAAAAAACAATTTCTTGGTTTGGCAGAATAGCTATCGACGAATAGATTGAAAATTGAAGGATCACAGCGGTCGAGTGTCTTTTAAAGACCAGTTACGACAGAATGGTTGGGGAAAAAAGAGGGGAAAAAGAAGGTTAAACGGTAACTCGTTGTCAGTATGGTGCAGTTCAGTCTGCTAAGGGATGATCGCGCAGTTAGTCAGCCGTTTCCGGACAATCAATCACCTCTTCGCAGTTGGGTTTTACCAGGAAAAACAAATGGGTCCAGCCCACTGGCCATAGCAAATGTAACTTCGACAGGAAAAAAGGTTAATTACGCCAAGTCTCTGCTAGGAATCTCCATTTTGTCAATCAATAAAATATCCTCGCGCTTCGTATCGAATCCATTAAGGGATGATGTACGAATACGTTTCACAGTACTAAAAAGTCCTCGATGTTTCTGAGTGATCGCAGGACCAACTGTTAGGTCAATTGGTTTAATTCAAAAAAGGAAGAAAAGCAAAAAAGCGGTTTAATTCTACAAAGTACACGTAGAAAACGGGAATGGAAAATTGAAAAAAATTATTAAAAATTTCGCGTCTGCGTGTAATAGCATAAAACAGTATTTTTCGCGTTGCCCTAAACGGTATTCATGATTCAGACTGTACGAGAGATAGGAAGCAAAATTTTCAATTTTTTAACACTTTTTGAGATCGTAGTTCTCGACACACGAGGATTTTGTTATAAAAAAAGAAATAGCGTCAATGGCAACAATATGAAAAGAAGACCGCGATTTTAATTTCAAAAAATCTACAGGTTTTCATTTCCATTAATCTAACAGTCTTCCGTAGTACATTCAGTATCCCACCTTCATTTCATGCAATATTTAAAAGGACGAATCACGAATTAGGTGACGCGAATCTGCTACCAATTTAATCCAACTCTCAATCACACACGTTAAACTACTCCATTTCGAACTGAATTAAATCAAGATCAAAGCATCAGAAATTTCTTTCCATTGGTCCAACCTAAATCTACCTAAATAGCGTCTGCATTAAACAACTATCGAACACAATCCTTCTTTTTTCTCGAGGTCATCTATAACGTACCTACGCTTCTAATTCTACTCGAAGCCTGCTAATCCCCAATTTAAAATTCGATTATCGTAACACGTAAACTGGCAGAGGTTGGTTTTCATGCAACTCCGCAACGCAGGGTTTACCGAGTTTTCCGCAAACTTAAATTGCGTGTCGAGGCGAACGCAACTCGATAATTTGCAAACAGAGATGACGCTTCCAGCTCTCTTCAGAACCTTCGATGAACACGAGTAGATGAACCAGCCAGTTTATTCGCTGGTTTTCGAAAGAGAGCTAATTACATTCCCGCGAGTGCAATTACATTTTCCTTCCGATTCCGGCCAACGAAACGTTCAAAAGAGGGGAAAAAGAAAGGGGTAACTGCGTGCGTTACGGCTACTTCCGGGCAAAACTCGTATACGTGTGGCCCGTTTAATTTCGCAGGCAAATCAAAAGTTTCGCCACAGATGTGCTGCTTCGGGCAAACTTGCAACTCCGAGAGTACTTTCCCACAGTTTTTCGCTTTCTCACTTTCCACTTTCCGGCTGCGATAGTTTCTGCTGCACGAGACCACCGGCAATACCGCGATTCTCAGGGAATTTGTCAGCTCAGGATGTACGATGATGATGACGCATTGTATAGAATGAAGTAAAGGATGATGAGCGAATAGTTTCCAAGACACTAGCGATGTCGAGGAGTATTGTTAGCGGTATTAGGCGATTTTTGTAAAATATGATGGTAGTAATATTGAAGATTATTAAAATTAACTCACAAATTTCATTAGCCTGCATGAAAAATACAATTGGTTTCCATTAACCTTTGGACGGCGGATGTCGGGTCACCAAAGACCCGATTTTTAGCATTCGAAACAGAGTTACGACTCTCCGATCCTTACATTATAATATATTTGCATAATTGTAAACAATATAATTCTCAGTGACATAAAAAAATGTGGTTTCGAAGAAGATTTTAGTATTGGGTCACATTTGACCCAGCAACCGTTGTCCGAGTATTAAAAAAAATCGCATAAATTTTCTTCTTTTTGTAGAAATAATTAATGTTTATTAAATCTTCAAGAATATGAAAAAGTTTCACTCCAAATAATACATTCAATAACATAGGAAAAAGAGTTTGTCTCGATTTTGGGTCAAAATTGACCCAGCTTCCATGCAAGAGTTCAAAGATAATCCTTTCTTCTCAACGATAACTATCATCGCGATGATTACCCTGATCGTAGACCCACTCTTCTGGGAAATCATCCAAATTTTTGTCCCAACAGCCGAATTATCCAATCTGAGAATATACACAGTTACACCCACGTATCGGTTTGGAACTCGCGAAAAGGAGAGTTTCTAGGCCTGTGTGCTCGTAGAGCAGCCGGCAATTAGTCGGAAAAGTTACAGAAGCTCCGTCAGTTGGGATTTTCTGACCGTTGGGCGCAATTAAAAAAGCGCGAGGAAATCGGCCGGTTGCGCCGGAAGTTCCGCGGTCGGAGAGCAATTCCGGAGCCTACTCTCGGCTCCGTTCTACGGAAAAACCATCCTGCTATACTGTTTCCAGATAATTACATTTTTTCCCCGGAAAATCCTTCTCTGCTCTTTTTTATTTACACGCGGCCTACTTTCCGCTGAGTTTCGTTTAATATCAGCGGCACTTTAAAGCATTTAAAACAGAAGAATAGCAAGACATTTCGCGATATTAGCGTCGCCGAGAGTTTTCTCCGGACTTGTTTCTTTGCTCGCCGACGCCATTTACAACCAACGGGTGTAAATTGAGGGAGACGGTGACGAGAGTTTGAAAGAAACTATCGGTGAAATTGTTCGAGGACGTTTAAATGGAAATGCAGAAATTGAAATGAAATTATTATTTTTAAATTATGCAACTTCACACAATTTCATTCTATGAAAGAATTATCGTCTATCTGGTGTCTTATTCTATTTAAACTTGCAATATAAATAAATTATTACATCTTTATGCGTATATTAATAAAAAAATATGAAAATTCTTTTTCCCGAGTTTCAACGAGAATAGAATTTTCACTTTCATTTATTGAAAAATATCAAATAAATAAATGTCGCAATATTTATGCAATTTTCATATTGCCAAGCTTTAAAAGAAAAAAGAAAAAATAACAAAAGTCACTATTCCGTGTAACACTTTTGTAATAATTTATGTAATAATTTTCAGAATTGGTTTAACACCGAACAGCAACGTGTGGGTCGGAGCATGGTGGATAGGTTTCCTAGGGGCTGCAGTTTTATGTTTCGTAATTGCTATACCAATCTTGGCGTTTCCGGCAGCTTTACCTGGTACTTGCAACCGTTATAAAATATTCTACATAGAAGAAGAAAAAATATACCGACTTCCAATAATTTCTCGAGAAACGAGGAAAACGTTGAAAATTCTATTTCCTTCTTTTTATAAAAAAAAAAAAAAATAACTGAAAATATAGCTCATTTTAGAAAGGATTAAAGCGAATGCAGCAATAACATGAATATTTATTAGTAAGCGATTTGAGAAGCCTGTTAGAAATAAATTTTACATTAATAAAAAATGCATTCATTTTAAGTATGAAATGAGTGCACAACAGTATGTTTTACACATCGTGTATCTACAACTGGTAACATATTACAGTCGTTAATTTTACTGAAATATCACCTGTAGGTAATACTAGAGAAAGAATATAAAATGATAGTACTTTATAGTTTCGCACAGATAGAATGGCGAATGAAGTTTGTGACAACAGTATGAATGCATGTTTGCAGGAATTTAGAACATATTTTCTAGTTAAAAGCACGATATGTCATTGCTGCGTTCGTTTTAAGTTGTAGGCAATTTTAGACCATCAATTCTGGATCCGAATCTCGTTAGTTTATAATTAAAACTGAATGAAACTGATATGGAGTATCTCATTTTGATTCTAGCAAACACGAGTATAAATGAACTATTGTTTTCCAAGTTCTGGTTATTCCAATAAGCGTTAAAACTCTTTTTTTCTTTGTAACCTGTGTTTACTAATAGCAAATGTTATATTTTTAAACAAAATAACGTGAATATTACTTATTTATTACTCTCTCTTTTAAACTTATAACGACGGCGTACAGAGACTTTTTTACCGACAAGGGAATATTCCGAAGTGATAATCACCAATTCTAGTGAAACTTTGGTATATAATAGTTCTCAAAAAAGTATTCGACGCGTGTTTTTTTGTCTCAACAGTCGACCACAGTGAAGGTGTGAAAATCGTCCTCAAAGTTACTAAACTTGACCTTTGGTCAAATATCTCGAAAACTATTGGAGATAGAGAAATGGCGTAAATTGACGAATTTTCTACCTTTCAATGACAAATTTAAAAAATCAAAAACAATAAAAAAGAAGTTTAAATCAAATATATTTATTATCCCCATCTTTGAGAGCGACTTTCACCCTTTCGGTACAGAGGACTGCCGATAAAAAAATATTCCTCTATCTCTACTAATTTTCCAAATATTAGACTACTTAACAAAAATTAAAAAAAGGCTACTTCCATATACCAAAATTTCGCCAATTCGGTGATTTCACTTCAGGAAGATTCCTTGCAAATCTAAAAACCATCTCACTACACTATACCAATTCTCACTCTTTAAAAATAAACATCTGTTCTCTCAGGCTCCGAGGAACTAGCGAAGGAGAGGGTGTCAGAGGCACACGAGAAGCCGAAGCAATCGTCATCGAGTGACCAAGGGGAGGCGTTCTCGAAAATACGTCAACTGCCTCGCGCTCTGACCGATCTGCTTGGTAATCCAGGCTTTTTCATGTTGAATCTGGCAGGTGCCAGTGAAGGATTGCTTATCGCTGGTTTCGCCGCGTTCCTGCCCAAGTTGATCGAAAATCAATTCAACGTCAGCGCTAGCTCCGCCGCTTTACTAATGGGTGAATAATATTCAAGCATTCCCTTGTAATCAATCAAAAAAGCCGCGCTCCTCTCTCTCTCTCTCTCTCTCTCACTCTTTTCCTGGTAACGCGTAATCGTCGACATTTCTCGCTAAATACCGAAACATTTTTTATCCCTCTGTTTTTTGCCACTCTTCCTTCCCTCTCTCGCGGCTGCAAACGTGAAATATCGACTCAACGATATATTACCGTCAGGTATCTCTGCACGGATGTCGCTGGCATAAATCATCCCCCGACATTTTTATATTTCGAGATTCCCACGATATTTACGATTGACTAATATTTAAACGTAATTTCGCGAAATTCCGCGGTCCTCCACGAGAGGAGGGAGTCAAAACTCGCGTACAACTCTCGCCGTATTACTCGAACACGAAATTTAGACCTTTTAATATCTCTCTCTTTTTATTTTCTTTTTTTTTTTTTCGCTTTTAGGTCTGGTGACTGTGCCCGCAGGCGGCGGCGGTACCTTTCTCGGCGGTTATCTCATAAAACGTTTTAATTTGCCCTGCTCGGGCATTTTGAAGTTCTGCCTGTTGGCCACCGCGTCCTGTATCGCCTTCACTTTGTGCTTCGTTTTGAATTGCCCGAATTTAAACTTCGCCGGAGTCACGGTCCCCTACTCGGAGCAAACCAAGTACGTGATTCTTCTCTGTCTATTTCATTTATATATCCACTTCAAGAGCACGCTTCGTTGCCAGGTGCATTAACTACGTAGGGGAGAGTCGTGCAGTACCGGCCAAAGCTAGATCTCGCTTATGCTGTTAGTTGACTGCACTATTGAAGGAAAAACAAATGAATACTATAGCCCTGAGATTCTGTTTTCTTCAGTATTACCAGAGTTCTAAGACGTTCAACGTTTACGCTGGAGTTCCGTGCGACAAAAGTTATTTCTCATAGCTGCAATGGTTGGGCTCACGTGGAGTTGTACGGATCAAGAAAATATCGATGCCTAAATAAAAGTTCTGTTCTATTTTTAAATGATTTTTACTAACGTTATTCATTACTTAGACCTTCGAATCTACCAACTAAGTAGCTGACCGGTACTGCACGACAATTTTTCGTTCGCTGCAAATTACAACTCTCTTATTTCTACCAACTACTTATCTTCATGAGAAAATTTAAGAAAAACCATTTGTCCCCTTTTATCAAGCACCCTTTGTACTACAAATTACTTTTTTCATTTTTACCAACATTAGCCCAAGTTATAGTAAAAAAACTTAGAGTGGCCGGTACTGCACGACTCTCCCCTATATACAGATGAGAAAAATGTATGTTAGAAAAACTGGATATCTTATCTTCTTTATACGAACACTTCAAGATTTTTGCGACAAATCGGAAACTACCACTGCTTACGGATTACGCATTTTTGCGTCAAAGTCTAGAGAAAGTATTAGAAACTGTTTTTTCCAAAATTATTCAAACTATCGACTTTATTTTCTTTTTTTAAATTGAACAGGAGATAAGAACAGCGACTGACCTTTCACTTCTATTTAATTAAAGAGAAAATATCAGAGTCGCTTTTATTTTTCATATTAAATGTAAATTTTCAATTTAGCGGTCCGATACTGTGCAAAAATTTTCGATCTAGCTGCTCGGACGCCAAAGTGTTAATTAACCCCTTGCCTCGTAACAATTATTAGGCTCCTGGTGCAGATACTGACGAAGGTGTGACAGAAACAGCAATAGAGATTAATTTTCATTCTAAATTCAGTTTTAATTTATAAGGCTGAGAATTATCAAACTGTAAAATATCAAGCTACGATACATTAGCTCTTCTTACTTCACACAGTACTAAAATAATAAAGCTGAAGTTTGCATGCACAGTCGGTAAAACATTTATAAGTCAAGGGGTTAATTATTTCTAGTAAATTGTATGTTTGCCAGAACGTCGAAAGCAAGTTTTCCAGTTTTACGAAGATCTGTATTTCATTACTTTCTCTCTTTAATCGTCAATTTTTTTTTTTTTTAATCTACTTCTGTGTATTTTCACGCTTATATATTTCACACTAACAAGAGTAAATTGCTAACGAAAAAATTCTGTATTTTTGCACTAACGTATCTTGAATAAATCAAGGAGCTTTAAATTTTGTACTCGCTAGTACATTTTTTATTCGAAAATGTGTTAATCTAGCAGAACACGGTTTTTCTCGCGGCTGAAATAAATGGTTTCATGCAGCTCACGCTTTAGCCATAACGTATATTAGGAAAAATTGCAGAATCCAGTTGGATGTCTGTGTGATCAAGAAATTTCACGTTTGCAGAAAATCTTTTTCGCTGGATAACGCGTGCAATAATGGTTGCGGGTGCTCGAGGTCGGAGTTCAGTCCAATATGCGGAGTCGATGGAATCACGTATTATTCCCCTTGTCATGCAGGATGTTACCAAGAAACACGGATACACGACGTCGAAGTAAGTACGGTTTCTTATAGTGCTTAGTATGCAAGCTGTTTCTTTCAACCATTTCACTCTTTTTCTTTTTCCTTCAATTTATCTCCGAAGCATTGAAGATAATTTTATGAAAGCGATTTTTGAAGAAATTATTTATAATAACACTGATTAATATTCCAAAAAAATTAATTTTGTCTACTAAACTTTGTCACTTTCTTTCGAACATTTCTAAATTCCCTAAACGAGAGTAATAAGATCTGAACCTCTTCAGGGACGATCTTTTTTAAGTTAGAAAGAAATGATCTAATTTTTTACGTAGTAAAAATAATAAAATTAAACTACTTTCCTTGTTGAGAGATTATGTTTTTCACACTTTCTCTATCACAAATATTGGAATTTTCGGAGAAATTAAACGTACACATATGTATCAGTGTCCCTGAAGAGGTTAGAGCAACTTCCAATAGCAATTATTATCGTTAAATTTAACAATCTCAACAATATCAATTTTTAAATATTCCTGAAAAATGATTATCTTTCCTTCACCCTT